TATGAAATAAGAGATCGTATGCAGTTATATGCAAAGCTGCCACTCCCACAGCATCAGTACTTCCCTTTTGTGTTTCATATATCATACTCTGAGGCAGTCACACTGGCAGAGCACCAAATGACAGCAAAATTGTGTAATAATATTTGGGTGTTAGGTGACATCTAGGGATAGCAACTTGATGATTTATGTGCTAAATATTGCCCCATTTTTACAACCCCTTAACTAATGAAAGCATTACAAATCCCATTATCCCTTAGGCAGTGCCCCAGTTAATGAGGGTACCTTATAAAGAATTGCATAAAGTGTAATGCATGTGTTTTACTAATATGACATGTATGTCTTGTCCTCCTTAACTGCAGTCAAGCCATCCATGACAGGAAAAGTCAACCTTGTCAGTCATTATGTGAATTACAAATTATTTGGAGGCATTGGGTTAAAAATTATTTTGGATTATTGTAGTCAAGTAGAACCTTCAGTCATATGGTAATTGATTTTGTCAGTATGCTTGGTGGAAGTGTGGGCAGAAATCCCATTTATTGCTGGTGTGTTTTCTGTCTGCTGCCATTTCTTCATTTATTGATGTGTAGCATACCTTTTTATATTCTCCTTTGCTAAATTTTAAAGATATTGGACATGATACGCAGGTTTGATTCAAGTTCGTCAAAACTGTCACTTTATTGTCCAAAGAGTGAAAGTGCCTTCTGATGACCATGCTATTTGCAGACCCTTGGTATGGACAGATACGGGGCAAATAATAAAATCACAACAAATGTTGAAAATGAATACTTACCTTGGTTTAAGTGCATGCAGAAATGATGGATTTTACTTAAGATAAAACAATTACCATGGAATGTCTAATTCAGGGTGACTTCTCCTTTGCAGATTCATCATTGGAGACTATCTTGACATTGCCATCACCCCCCCAAGCCGAGGTCCTCCACAGCGGCGCATGCTGAGGCCGTACTAGTCATTTCCTGTGAGGGTGTGTGGAGAGATTTCATTTCCAGAGAGGATTTGATGTGAATGAGTCTTCAAGGAACTGATTCTATAATTTTTTTTTTTATCTGAGGTTTCTTTCCAGTAAGAATATTTTTGTTGAACGTAAAATCATCTGTTATATTTAGATCCAAATTTTGGATCAGGACTTTCTCTATGTATATTTTTTGTTCTTGGTTGGAACACTGTAAAAGCCAACTTTTGCATTGGTAGTGTCAGTGAGAATGAATGGCCATTCCTTTATGACGTGAATTGAAGTCTATTCAAAGTTATATTATGCTAAGGATTGGGAAGCTTCGTTTTTTGTAAGAAAAGAGATAAAATTGAAAAAGGGCATTTGATTGCACTTTGACTATATCACTTTACTTTACTTTATCCCTTGACAAAAAAGCAATTCTCAATATGGTCCAGATAGATAGTGATAAAACATTATTGTAATTTTTAAAGGAGGTATTTGGTGTTTTGGAAAAATGCTAGTGTAATTCCTAGATGATTTAGCACAGTACTGTGAATTTGTAGTATGTAAAAGAGTATGTATGAGCATTTTAATACAAAAAATGTATTTCAGTATAAGAATAGACATTGGAATACAGTGAATATTGTTTTGGTATCCTGAGGTTAACTAATACAATGCATGTAATTATAGAAAAATGGTTTTGTATAATAAAGTGTTAGGATCAATATATAGTTGTGAACACTAGTTCTTGGGACAGTTTAGAGTTTGTGAATTTACATGGAATTTGAGGGAGGAGGGAGAAGGGTAGAAGACAGAGCTAAAGGGAGAGTAGAGGAGATAAGTTCAAAGTATGATATTTATTTGTCCTGCTGTATTTCCCTAATATAAGAGCGAAGAGTGCTGATTTCCTGCTCGCTGTAAAGCGCTAAAAGCTGCTTTTCCCCAGCCTAAGGCACCTTAACCTTATGTGGGTCTCTTGCTCTGTGTATGGGCCATAAGATTGCTCTTCCCTAAATTAAGGCATCTTAAGGAGATACACGTTTGATAATCCGGCCCCAGGTTATTACTCAACCTCCAGAATGCACCTCTTCCTCTCTCCCAACATTCTCTTCATCTCCTACTGCACAGTCTTAATCAATATTTAGCCCCTGTTCCCTTATTACTACTCGTCATCCTTATTGTCCTCCCCCCAACAGAACTCCATTCCACACCACTCCATGTTCCTCTAGCCCTTGTGCTTCTACTGCCTCTACTTCTGCAAACCTTTTGAGTACTCTCTTTGACCCAGGCAAGTGGGACCGATTCTTGTATTCCTCCCACAGCCCCCTACTCTGAGAATACCCTTCTCTTTCAACAGTGCCTCCAAAAACAAGTAGACAAGTAGGCAAAGTTACCTTTTATAGTTGCTCTGATCCTTCACTCCTAGTTAGTTACATCAGAATCCCAAGCTCATGCAATATCTACCTTAACTGCCCTTACTGGCAAACTCATGCCTGCTAAACCTCATCCCTCTCTAAATGCTTGTACTGGAACGGTTTCTGTCCCCCCAAATGATTATCCCATATATGACAAGAACTGGTCAGATTGTGAAAATGATCTACTTGCGTGCCTTGCTGATTATAATGCAGTAGCAATACAGTGCTACATTATTCCTTCCAGAGTCCCATGTCAATATTTCCAAGATTAGCTTCTGTAGACATGACCACTATGAAGTTTATATTGGTGGATTGCCCTACCATATTGACCCCTTCCTCATCAAAGTCAGAAATATTGGCATTTTGGCCTCTCAGCCAAACATTGTCGCTCCACAGCCTGCTGCCCTCCATGTGCCCAACTGGTCATGACCTTTCGAATTGCCCTGCTCAGTCACGTACATATGCCAACTGTGGTGACTCCCCTAATGCATTTTATAAGAGCTGCCCTGCCTATAAGCTCGAATGTGAGTTAGCATTTCTCAGATTCAAACTAGGCCTCACTCTACATGAGGCTAGACAGGAAGCACAATGATGAGGATTTTCTGTCTACCTATTCCAAAAGAGTGCTCTGCACCCCCTCCCCCATCTCCAAGATGTGTCTGCATCTCCCCCAGTATCTCTTCCTTCTATCCTGAACCATCCTACCCCCCCAGTCAAGTCCCTTTTCCATTTTAAATCCAGATACTGCAGTCTCTTCTACTTCTCCAATACTTTCCCATCCTCCCCTTCACTTTACGCATCGCAGCAGACCACCTAAACTTTCTACTCCATCTTCACCTTCCACACCCTCTCCTACACCCTCCTTTTCCACTGCTCCTCGAACATCTATTCCCCACTTCTCCTCACAAATGATCCTTTGTTTCTCAGACCTACCTACCGAAATCCCCTCCAGAAACTCTTGAAGACATCCAAAAATTCCTAGACATGACCCAAGAAAATGATCTGCTCCCTCATCCACCCTCCAATCCCTCTATTTCTAGTCCCTCTACATTCAAAGTATTTGCCAATATTCATCCATCTCCACACGTAAGTTTCCCCTATCCCTCTCCCTCCTACTCTTTCCCAACAAACCCTATCCTCTCCTCTGTGTACACCATTCCCTTTGCGTTCTCCACTATCCTTACATTTCCCACCTGGATACTTGCGTAAATCCCTTCTGTCGCAACAGTGTTCTCCTTCAGATTCCTCTCCTCCTGATGCTCTTCTTGATACTACACCTCCTTCCCCAGTCCCCTTATCTCATCCCATAGACTCTTCTGCTGCTTCTCCAACAGCCATCTCTATCCGTATTACCCATTAATTATTTCATAACCGCTCTTTTGCCAGTTTTTCTTTAAAGCAGTATTTCTATAGTTTCCCCAACAACACATGCACCCCATTCCATCCAATCTCCTTATACCCTTAACCATTTCCTTTATTAATGTCCAATTTACATCATTTGCACCTATTTTTTACCCTTTCCCCTATCATACTATCCTATAACACTGGCATTTAACGCTCCTTATACTAATCATTAACTCATTTACCCTTTTCACCAAAATACTTTACCATAGTGCTATATGACCTTAGATGTCTAACACATTTATTTGTTTCAACTATTAACATTAACATTGTACCAGAACAGTATCCATATCCCCAGCTGATTGCACTGTTTATGTCAAGGATTGGTTAGACTGAAAACGACCTACTTGCCTGTCACCAGACCCTCCAATCTGTATTTCCCCAGTGTCTACCCATCCTCCTCGCTCTACCCATCTCTTCAGACAGTCTAACATTCCACCCCATCTACCGCATCCTCTCCTACACCTATCCCCTCTGCTCCTCAAATGTCTGCCGACTCTTCTCATAAGAAAGCCACAGAGCTCCCCAACTAACTCCCTTTCAGACTCTCGAACATTAAAAACTTGCTAATCATGACCTAAAAAACATGCCTATCCGTCATCCACCCTCCAATCTCTTTGCTCCCATTCCCTCTACAGTTAAAGTAATTGTCGAAATCCATCCTCTGCATGTATTCCCGACTTTTCACATGTTGCACATTTAATCAGTGACCCACCAATCCCCCTCTTTACCCGTTTCTCTATTATACCCCCCTATGGTACTATGTGACCTTGGATGTTAGGACATTTTTTCTGTCCAGAAACTTGAGGGCATCCAAAACTTCCTAAACATGACCCAGGAGAATGCTCCTCCACCCTCGTATATCTTTACTCCTATTTCCTCTACATTTAAAGTAACTGCCGACATCTATTAACCATTAGCCTCTTGTTAAGAAAATATTGACCATGATTATTGCTGTAATGATTATCTGATTCAGAACTTCATGGTATGTGACATGGTTATTTTCTGTTATTCTATAGGATGTCAATAGTAAACAAATGATTACTGAAAGCAAACCCGAGAAATCGGTAGGTATAGATATATAAAACTAAAAAAGAAATAGAAATAATGATATAGCATTAAAATCAATCCGCAAGTAAAAGAAACGTAAATATGAATGTATGAATAGGTAACGAGTTTGGATAAAACGTCCTGTCCATGTACATACACCTGTACAAATATCTTCAGGTGTCGTAACATAGCGCAGGTGGAAGGAGGCAGATGTTCAGTGTTGGACAACAATATCGGTTTTATAGTCACATTGAGCACTTGTTTCCTGTCATCTTCCTCTCAAGCTCGCATTTACACATCACAGAGAAGTCAAGAAATCAAGAATTTTTTTTTCTAAAGATTTCCTAGAAGTATGAGATC